CCCTTCTTGTATCTGATTAAAATGTACCCCTGTGAGGCCCCCAAAGGGAGCAGAGGTGGGATGTGCTGAGCAAAGACGCACTGACAGCTCTGTATTCACATCTAAGAAGAGGAGAGATCTTGCCGATCTCATTTACCATGTCAGTGGGAGGAGAAGGAAGTTGCAATCGTCAGTAATAACCTGTGGCACCATTTTCATGTATCTGTATGAATTAGGAATAAAGGTGGTCGCTTGTCTTTCCGGGGCTTCAGGAAGTTGTGTGTTCATGACCTGTCTCTTGTGTGTGGTTTCTGGGGAAAAAAAAAAGCTCTGTGTGTGTGTGTCTGGATTCGTCCCACCGACTGAAACACAGCTGGAGCGTGGGTACGTGCAGCTGAGCCAGGACCCCCCGCAGCGCCGAACCAGCTCCCTGTTTCAACCCAAATAATCACAGAAGCCTAGAAATTTTGGTCTCTGCGTGCTGGCTGGGAACAGGTCTACCCTCCTATGAGCAGGTGGCTGTCCGGGCTGCAGTGCCTGAGCCTGACTGGGATCATGATGGTCCTCCACACTCTTCTTGAGTCTCAGGGGCCAGTGGTGTTCCCAGAAGATGCTTACTGGGAAGTGCTACCCACCCCCCACCCCACCCCCGCTCCACACTTAGACCGCATCTTCTGCAAAGGCCCAAGGAGGCTGTAAGGAGTGGGATGGGGGTTATGGGAAGGGGCTAGAGAACCGAAGTGGGGCATGAGAAAAGAACCTTGACCCCTCACAGGCTACAGGCACTAGGAGCTTGTGAGCCACCAGACATCTTTGTTTTATCCACTGGATCCAATGCAAGGTAAAAATTTTATGTGTAAGATCTGCTTTGCTTTTTCCTTCAGTAATTAGGGCTCTAACAACGTCATTCCTTACAGAAGTTAAATCACAGCCTTGCCTGTGCAGAGGACAGTGGATTGATTTTAATGCTGATGCTAACCTTGGACTTTGGAGATTATGCGTGACCAAGGAATGAAACTCAAACATTTGCATGTGCGTCCAAACATCTGCTTTGTTCTGCAAAGGACAGGGTTATGTTGTAACCGCCTGTCGAGGGCCAGCTGTCCTGTATTCCCAGACTGGGCGTTAGCTCGGACCTTGCGGTGGTAGAAATTCAGGCAGGAACTGTCAAGCAGCTGTGGCAGAGCCAAGGAAAAAAAGAAACCTACCTGTGACCTCATTAACAAATCCAGCACCTTTTCACGACTTCCACATTCCTTCTACAGCTCTCACCTCTTTTTTTTTGTCACCCATGGCTTCTTTTCTTTGCTCTGCCACCAAGAATTAAGCTAGAAGTCTTCCCATGTTCTGGCCAATGGTTTGATCTTTGCAAGCTCCCGAACATGA